AAATGGCGTGCAGAAGTCTTTAAAGATGACAAATCTCTCTAAAGATGATGTCTGTTTTCAATTGAAAAGCGCAATTGTGACAACATTGTCCAGTGGGGTCTAGGAGTCTCCCCTGGTTCAAAACCATCTTTAGAGGTCCTAGCACGCCATTTCTCGAGCCGCTCTTTCGTTTGAGCCCAAAAAAACATTCATATCTTGTCTGACATCTTTGCTACAAACTCGGGTTTTCAACTCGGGTTTTCAATTGAAAACTGCATTTTCGGAATTGTTGGATCATAATTGATCGATATAGGATAAAATGGACACTTTGGACTTTTTTAAAATTATTCATAACTCAAAAACAAATGTATCAATAGAGCTCAGTTTAGGCTCATCACAAAGGGAAAGAATTGTTCTTTGTATTGAAAAAAATATATATTAAATTTCATCATTTCAACATTTCAACCCGTCACTAACATTAAAAAAAAAGTCAAGTGTCCATTTTACCCCAACCTCTCCTAACACAAAAAATCAAAAACTTAAATGACAACGTTTACAATACTTCCATTCGCACGCAAAATACTCAAATTTTCAAAAAATGCACTTACCGACTCGCCAGATCCTCCAGGAGTTCCTGAAAATATAAAAAATCATGATGTTACTACACTTTACAGGACGTCAGCTCTATCTCCAGTACCTCCTGGACGAAAGATCCAATTTTTAAGCACTTGTACTTATTTTAAGGTTACGAAAAAACCGTGCCAATGTAGAAATTAAAAATCGTCGCCAATTTAGAATTGTTGACCTTCAAAAACGTCAATTTTACCCCCATCTTCGTTAAAGGTTTTCATCAAGAGCCGGGAGAAACTCACCTTTGCAGGTCCCAGGGCATCATGAACGCCCAAGTTCGCCACAAAATGCACAACTCACTCAATTTTCTTCTCACAATTGTTGAATTATTCGAATAGTTTTTTCACTTCACTCCCAATTTCCCAAGAATACCTCGAAATCGGAAAAATATGTCTGAATGTTCGGTGAGACCACATTATCAGACAGATCTACAAGATACCGAGCCTGTTTACACCGGGCACAACGTTGGCGGAGGCATTAATTCAGATCAAGTTCGATTAATTTCTTCACAAAAGTCCGTTATCTCTATTTAACCCCGAGATATTCCCAAATACTCAACCCAGGAGAATGAATTCAGCCTTTGTTCCCCAGAAAAACGATTTCCCTTCACGAAGACACTTCGGAAAAAATCTCGTAATGAAAACGATATCACGACCTTTTCACAACTCTCGAAGTTCCCTACAGAAGAGCAATTTCATATTTTGCAAAAACTAACCCTCGTCACATGTGTCAATATAATTCTTCATTTTGCACTTCCCTAAACAACGAACTAAAGACACAAACAAACAGAAACTGCCCCCTCCCACACGCGAGCCGATCAAATTGGCGGCAAATGACTCCGTCCCTAGTGACATTTGCCTTTTCCCCACGCAAAAATGGGGGTTGTTTGTACAATCGTCAAAAGAAGTTCGTAAAGAACGTGAAGTTGCATCCGTATGAGTCTATATAATAATATGGGATGCAACTTCACGTTCGGACGAACTTCTTTTGACGATTGTACAATCTAGACGGACACATTCCGTTTTGGACACGTCCTAGGGGAAAAGACGTTAGTACGGAAGGCGGTGGAACAGATGGGCGCGGAAATTTGTGGATACATTCAAAGAGGATAACTTTCCCTTGCAGGAATGTTAAAAAATCGCAAGTGCACCTCGGGCGGAAAGTCTTCACTTTCCGCCCTTGATGCACAATATAGGGGAGGATGGGGTAAAATGGACACTTTTGACTTCTGACGTGGATACGTCTATGGTTTCAATATGGGGTTCATTTTGAGAAACGGTCCTTATGTGCAACGCCATCTATCGGAATTCTAGAAAATTCTAGACATTTCGTGAATTCGAGAAGTTTCTTGATATTTCGAAAAAAATCACGGAGTTTCTAGAAATTTCGAGGAAATTCTGGAAGTTTCTAGAAAATTCGAGAGAATTCAAGGAGTTCCCAGAAAATTTGAGGGAATGCAAGGAGTCTCTAGGAAATTCGAGGAAGAAGGAAAGACCATCGACGTTTCCCTACAATTACAGCTGTATCGAAGAAACAGCCGCCTGCAATTTTTCTAAAAATATTCAAAACTCAGAAACAGATTTATCAATTGCGCTCAATCTAAGCTCATCAGAAAGAGGAATCATTGTTCTTTCTATTGAAAATTAAAATTATTCCATTTCATGAACAATTCAACAATAAGTGGAACATCTTAAAAAAAGTCAAGTGTCCATTTTACCCCACCCTCCCCTACTACTTTTTCACCCGGGGCCACAGTGTCAGATCTAGGATTTTCTCCGGGGGAAAGTCGACTTTCGGCAAAATCGAATTTTTTCACCAAGTGAAGGTTGATTCTCTATCTAAATTCTGGTGCTAATGAAACCCTCGGAGGCGCGAGAAATGTCGGACTAAAATTTTTTTCGTTTTTTGCGATTTTTACACAAGAAAATTATTTTCAACATGATAAATGCAAAAAATCGGAACTGTCCAAAACGGAATGTGTCCACCTGAGATTGTTCAAACGACCCCACCCCCTGCCCACACACGTCCTATTTCCAAGTGACATTTCTCTTTTCCCCAGAAAAAAATTTTGCCCCTGAAAAGTTCTAGAATCCCAATCATTTGAATTCTGAACCAAAACACTACATCACACCTTTGAAAAAACAAGATTTTTGGAGCTTCACTTTCCTCTAATTTTCCTTGACCCGTTAATTCCCTACTGGAGTGCCTCAGGAAAGAGTTATTCAAGGCCAATAAACATCTACGATAGGCGATTATCCCTGGAATCCCCCTGGAAGGACTTGAGCAACTGTCATAACCTCGAAGAATGGCGGCCAAGGGTAAACGTCCCGCGAAAAAGGCCGGGGCAAATGGTTACAAGCTCCCGGAGTCGATCGCCCCAGGTGAAGTGCTCACAGACCTGAGTAAGAACCAATGGATCCTGGGGGAGTCGATAGGCGTGGGAGGCTTCGGGGAGATCTACTCAGCAGCTGCTCACAGTGGAAAGACCCCGAAAGAGTACCCCCTTGTCGTCAAGATCGAGCCACATGGGAATGGGCCCCTCTTCGTGGAGATGCACTTCTACATGAGGAATGCTAAGTCTGATAATATCGAGGCCTGGAGGAAGAAGAGGAAGCTGGGGAGCCTGGGAATGCCCAAGTTCATTGCCAATGGGAGTCATGAGTACAAGGGGACCAAATACAGGTGAGGGAGTGGAATTTCAATTCTTAGCTGGGTTTTGCTTCCGCATGAAAGCATTGGATTTAAGTTTTGTTATATCGATCTATTTTCTTTCTCATCTTGTATAAAAAGGAGATGTCACACGTTTAGTCCCAAATATTCCGAAATGTCTGCATGAGAAATCGCATACGTGATGATGATGATACTGATTTTGGTGATAACGTTGGTGTTGGTGAGCTCCAGTGAAGTATGGGTTGATTCTCAATTGAAGTTCTTATGGATTTCGACGAATTTTTCAAGCTCTTTTAATAGAAGTTTCGATAGATTTTGTGGAAAATCCTTCGCTTTCAATGCAAGTTTTCATAGCTCTCGCCGTTTCTCCTATTGATTCTCGATGGAATTTTCCATCCCTTTGCAACCCATTGTCAATAGGAGTTTTCATCGCTTCCCACGAATTTCTCCTAAGTATATTGATTCCAATCAACTTGAATAATTAAAATTTAATTCGTCGATTAGTTTTTTTAATTTTCGAATTTTTTCGAACATCGCTTGTCCCACGATAACTAAAAAGAATGTTCTGAATGAATTCAATAATTGTTATTTTGATTTATTCGAAAATTTTCAAAAATTTTGTATCTTGAAAATCAGAATTCCGGAGATATCTTCGATTATCATGCTTAAAAGAGCTATGTATTGGTTGATTTGATTTTTGTGATGATTGTTGAAAAGTTCGAATTTTACATGAATTTCTCTGAAAGTGAGGTTTCAGGTTTCTGGTTTCTTCAAATGTGATGTTTGAACTTCATTCAAGTAGATGTAAATAACATTTTTCCATTAACATTTTATCGAAGGGCTGAGGCGAGAGATGAAAAGTGTATTCCACTGTCATTCATAAATGACAGATGAATGACATTCCGATGTCATTCATCCCTCAATCCATTAAACTTGCCATGATCCCCTTCAAACCCAGATTCGTCGTGATGGAGAGATACGGCACAGACCTCTGGAAGCTCTTCCTCGAGAACAACCGTCGCTTCCCCGAGCCCACGGTTTACAAACTCGCAATTCAGATAATCGACGTCCTCGAGTACATCCACAGTAGAACGTATGTGCACGCAGACATCAAGGGGGCGAACCTCCTCCTCGATCTGAAGACTGGGAGCCAGGTGTACCTCGTCGACTTCGGTCTAGCCTCCCACTACACCACGAAATCCGACTACAAACTGGACCCGAAGAAGGCGCACAATGGCACCATCGAGTACACCAGCAGAGACGCCCACATGGGGGTGCCCACGATGAGGGGGGACTTCGAGATCCTGGGGTACAACATCATCCAGTGGATCTGCGGGAGCCTCCCCTGGGAGAAGAACCTGAAGGAAGTGACTGGGGTCCAGAGGATGAAGGAGAAGGCTTTTGGGGATGTTGGGGCATTCCTGAAGGAGTGTTTCGGCGCTGGGAAGTGTCCTGGACCTGTCAAAGAGTTCATGGGGTTGTTATCAGAGATGAAGTTCACGGATACCCCCAATTACGCTGAATTCAGACTTATTTTCGTCGAGGGGTTGAAGAAACTTGGCCACAAGCCGGAGGGGAAACTCGAGTTTGGGGGAAAGGCTGGGGCTGTTTCGTCGGTTAAAGTTAAGACTGAGACACCTAAGAGGGTTAAGAAGGTCAGTGGGGACACACCCAGGAGGAAGAGTCCTCGGGTGAAGCCTTCGAGGAGTCCCAGCCCTCCTAGGTCTCTGGATGAAAGCTGTGTGGGAATCGTTGTGGACAGCAGACGTGAGAAGCTGAAGGACATGAAGAAGATCCTGGAGTCGATTGAGGATGATTCTGATACTGAGTATGGGATCACCATTACGAAGAAGAGGAAGGTGAAGAAGGTCGAGGAGAAGGTGGAGGTGGAGAAGAAGACCAGCAGGAGGGGGAGGAAGAAGGTGGTTTATGATGAGGATTCACAGTCCGAGCCTGAGGTGACTATGAATTTGAAAAATTGAATTATTATTTGTTCTTCAATCTTTAACGACTCGATACAGGCTGAGGGAAGTTCAGCAATTTTTTCATTCTCCAGGATTTTTTTAAATCTTTAAAATGCGGGCAGATTCATCTGAATCATATAAATTGGCCAGCGACAATCGAATTTTGTTTTCATCTTTCAGGTGATGCCAAAGGGGACCAAGTCACGACTAGCAACGAGAAAGGTAGTACGTAAGAAACCAGAAGAGGTTGACTCCGATGCTGATATGTTCGATGATTAGTTGAATCCATTTTCTATTGTAACTTATACATAATTGCATCGAGCTTAATCAAAATTTGTAGGATAAAAATTGTGAAAAGATGACCTGCAACGATCTGAAATTGCCAAAACGTCGAAGATCTATCATTCGAAATGAATGAACAATTCACTAATAAAGTGGTAAAATGTAAAAACTTAATTAAAATTTTCAATCTCATCAAATATTAAATTATCTCGACAACGAGTGTTTTTACGAAGAGATGTCAGACATTTCCCCACTCGTTCCCACGATAAATGCAAAAATAATAGAACTCATTTATCACATTCATTTTACCACTGAATTACTGAAACAAGACTTGAAAATTGTTATAAACTCTTAGTAAATCCAGAGTGCATTACCCATTTATTCCTTGAAACAACTGTTGAGCAGTATTTACAATAATGATGCGTTCCTAACAATTTTGTATTGATAAAACCAAAATAAATCATTATCTTTGTAATAATTCTACTTCTTATACTTCTGAATCTGTGGGGCACTGATTTTGACTTTCCCTGGAATATTCCTAGCAATGGTCTCTTCCTTGACAGCTTTTAGAAGATCTTTTTCCCTAGGGGTGATAGTTTTATCCCTCAGAAACACAGCAATCGCAGTCTTGGCAGCTTTTCCCCTCTTTCCAGTTCCAGGCATCAATTTCACTTTGAATTTGTAATTGTGGAGAGTGCCATAAGGCGCAATGACAGGTACAGCGAACAGTAATTCATCTTCATCGACGGGTTTTCCCGTTAGTTGATCCAGCATGTCCATCTCAGGGGCAGGTCCAACGTCCTCATCGTCGTTGTCAATGTTCTGGGGCTTCTGTTGGACTGGAGCTGGTCCAGATCCCTTTTGCCTCTGCTGGACCTTCTGTCTCTGCGAGTTTTTATTCTTCTTTCGTTTGTCTTCTTTAGCTGCCCCGTCTGGCTTCAGAACTTCCATGAGAAGTTTTCTGTCCTCCTCGTCCTGGTCCTTGTATTTTTCCTTAATTTTCTTCAGTCGTCCCTTCTGACCTCTCTTCAATCCACTCGTTTCTTTTTGCCTCTCACCTTCTGGCTTTTCTTTCACCGGTCGAACTGGTTTTTCTTGAACTGAGGCTCTTCGCGATGACAGTTTCACAGGGTTTTCATCACCCAGGTACACCTGAAAGTGAGAAATCACTCGCAAAATGCAAAAACAATACATTTTTAATCACAATAAGAAGAAAATTTGTGGAAATACATTATAGGGTTTCCTACAGATTATTTTTTCTTCGTATAAGGTAAATGACCCTACGCTCGCCCAGCCGAGGTGAACACATCACTAGTCCAATATTTCTATCGAAATGGGTGTGAAGATGTGATGTTTTAAATTAAACATCAGAGGGTAAGCCTAACTACTATTTTTTAATAAATAAACGTCCATAAATGTGGAAAGTCCCCTATTGACAAATGTCCCTATCCTCATCTCGTGATTTGAGTGATGTGGGAAGGCTCTATCCAACTAATAACATCGTGAGTATCCTATTTTCTGATAAAACAACATCAAAAAATATCTCGCGGCACAAAATTATATTTCAATTGGACAGTCCAATATTTTCAATGATTTGTTTCATCCATTTAGTCCGTTACCAGTTGACAGTTGCTTGCAAGACGAGTTCATTGTGCCTTTTCTTTTAATTGCCGATATTTCAGTAAAATATTAAGTACAAATTAGTATTAATATGTATGTTATGTATGTTAATATTGATCCTATTTTTCTATTATGACGGAGATGTCAACATTTGTAAATTGTAAATTTCTCAACTTGCGGATTAAGAATTCACTCTGTCGTAGCACCACTTGATGTGAATGGGATTTTTCTCTCTTATTCTTCAATAAATCACTGTTCATTGATATAGATAACTTTTTTTATTAACTAAAATAATAACTCCAATCGTATTTCACTCTAAACACATTCTTGGGGCTGTCAAAGTGATCAAAATGGGACAGGGACGAGCATCGGTACATTTACCTTAAAAATTCCTACGCAAAATCTTGGAAGACTTGTCATCACAAAAAAAGAGGATAAATCTCACCTCTTCAGGATCCTGCCTGTCCTCCAAAGGCCTCTTATTATCGATAACTAATTTCACTTGGGGTCCAGAGAGATCCAATTTTATCTGAGTATCAGGGAAGAGTGACTTCTCATCTTCACTCGAGCCCTCCTCCTCGACATTCTCCTCCTTGATGCCGCCAAGTCGCCCTTCCTCATCGGAATCATCAATAGCAATCTCCTTGTCCTCCTCGACACTCTCCACGACCAGAGAATCTTCTTCGAGAGTTTTCACCCTCCTCTCCCCCCTGTGCCTCTCGATAGAGCTCTCTTCGAGTCTGAATAGAAACCCGAACCCCATGACCAACTGGCACGGCGGGAGGTAGTTCTTTTTCCCTCGAATCATGAAGGAGCCCGTCGTCAGGTACTCCCCAGTGGGTGCTGTCTTCGAGACCTGATCGTGATGGACCCACCAGGCCCCGGCAACCACCTTCGCCTCCCAGGCGACGCTGTAGGCCACGGCCATGGTCCCCGCCTCGGCTAGACTCTTCGGAGGGACTGGGTCACCTGACGGATTTTTAATAACCACGGAACTGGCGCCTGTTAGATCCGCATGCACGTAGAGATCGCCAGCTCGGAGGTAACGTTTGACTATCAACTCGTTCTGCTGCTGGTCCCTTCCACCGATCACCAGGTAGTTCTCGGAGGTGATGAACCAGTAGAATTTTTCGAACCAGTAGACCTGGAAGAACAGAAGTGTTATTACTTTTTATTCTTGGGATTTTATTATTTCGAGAAAATGGGGTGCAGGAAATTCTGGGTCAGGAATTCGGGGTTTCCGTCGGTAATAAATTTGTGAAGAATTGAGGGACTTCGAGATCCTGGAGTACGATATGATCCGGTGGATCTGTGGGAGAGCCTGGCGTGACTGGGGTTTAGAGGATGAAGGAGAAGGCCTTTGGGGATGTTGGGGCATTCCTGAAGGAGTGTTTCGGCGCTGGGAAGTGTCGTGGACCTGTCAAAGAGTTCATGGGATTGGTATCAGAGATGAAGTTCACGGATAGCCCCAATTACACTGAATTCAGACTTATTTTCGTCGAGGGGTTGAAGAAACTTGGCCACAAGCCGGAGGGGAAACTCGAGTTTGGGGGAAAGGCTGTGGCTGTTTCGTCGGTTAAAGTTAAGACTGAGACACCTAAGAGGGTTAAGAAGGTCAGTGGGGACACACCCAGGAGGAAGAGTCCTCGGGTGAAGCCTTCGAGGAGTCCCAGCCCTCCTAGGTCTCTGGATGAAAGCTGTGTGGGAATCGTTGTGGACAGCAGACGTGAGAAGCTGAAGGACATGAAGAAGATCCTGGAGTCGATGGAGGATGATTCTGATACTGAGTATGGCATCACCATTACGAAGAAGAGAAAGGTGAAGAAGGTCGAGGAGAAGGTGGAGGTGGAGAAGAAGACCAGCAGGAGGGGGAGGAAGAAGGTGGTTTATGATGAGGATTCACAGTCCGAGCCTGAGGTGACTATGAATTTGAAAAATTGAATTATTATTTGTTCTTCAATCTTTAACGACTCGATACAGGCTGAGGGAAGTTCACCAATTTTTTCATTATCCAGGATTTTTTTTTAATCTTTAAAATGCGGGCAGATTCATCTGAATCATATAAATTGGCCAGCGACAATTGAATTTTGTTTTTATCTGTCAGGTGATGCCAGAGTGGACACCAAGTCGTGACAAGCACCGAGAAAGGTCGTACGTAATGATCAATTGAATCCAATTTATATTACAATTTATATTACAAATGATGAGTTATCCCCCCTCGCGGAAAATCCCAAAAAATAATCAAAAACCTTACCTTCCTCGCCTTGTTGATACTGTGAATCACCTGGGCCTCCTTCAACGTCTGCTTGGTCTTCCTCTCCGCGGACTTGAAAGCCTTCCCCTGCGACTCAATAGTCTTCTGCTGTTTCTTAGCAGCCGACCTCTTCATGTTGTAATACCTCGTGGCATTTCCATAGGCCGACTGGGCCAGGTCGATGTCCACGACCATGGGCTTCAGCTCCTCGCCATCAGCCTCGCCGTAAGGATCGCTGAGCCCCAGCGAAAAGTGATTGGTCTCCAGCTTCAGCTTCTTTATCGCCGAGGCCACAGGGTCCCCCCGGCTCTGGGCCTCGCCCAGAAGCCCCTGGATGTCCGGCCAGGACATCTGATTGGCCAGTGCACTCTGGATAGCCAGAATAGCATTATCAACGAGCCCCTGATTCCTAGTTATCAACTCCGCCTTCTGCTTATCAACCTCCTGAGTCTTCTCAAGCCCCACGAGTCGTTGGCTGTGATCTCTCTTCACGTTCTCCAGCTTCTTCAGGGCATCCCTCTCCTGCTGGAGTGCCTTCAGGTCCAACTTCTGTCCCTCCATCGTTGAAAAGTACTCGTCAACGGCCGAGTCGAAGGACTCGAACTCCTTGAAGGGCTGAGTCTTGCACTGCTCGAACAGCATCGGATGAAAATCAACATTCGTCATCATGAACTCCTCTTTGTCGTTCTGCGAGGGCTTCGACTCCTTCTTCTGGAGGATGTACCCTCCAGGGGGGCTTGTCTTAGCCGATGACAGGATGTCGTCCGCCATTAGGAGGGCCTCCATCACTCGATCGAAATCCCTCTCCAGGGAGAAGCTCTTTCCTATCTTGCAGTTGGCCTCGAAGCCCGATTTCAGGAGGACGTGGTCGATCAAGGCCGAGCCGAATTCCACCAGAGGGTTCAGGACCTTCTTCAAGGGGTCATCAGGCTTCGCCGTCGAGAGCCTCTCCTGGATTACTGCGGCCTCTGGCATCGTCGTCGTGTGCGCTCGGTCGAGGGGGTACTTCTCGCGAACTGCGAAACGAATTTTGTCGGCCTCTGTGTGCGGACGGAGGATGTTCAGGGTCGTCAACTCGTGATCGGTGAGGACTATGTTGCCGCGGTCGTAGAGCTCGAGGATTACGTGGTAGGCGGCCTCGCCCGAACCGAATTGCAGGTCCAGGATTCGGTCGGTGCCGATCTGCTGGAGGACCTCGAGCCGCTTGTTTTTCAGGTGCTTGCGCATCTGGAATTCAGTTGGTAGAGTGTCTCCTAGTGCGAGGACTCATGAGGTTCAGAGGGGGGTCTAGTGAATTCTATAGAAAATGTAGAGAAATCTGGGAAATGTATGGTCGTCTGGAGAATTTTTAGTTGTAATCATTCTCATTTGTAATTCTGATTTTTTTTTGTTCTGGGGGAATTTTAGAGGGAATTCTATTCGACTGCTGTTGGAGAATTTCGAACCTATGGAATTCTGTGGGAAATGGTGGAGGAGGCTCGTAGAAAATAGATTGACAAGTCTGTGGAATTTCTTAGTCTAATAATGCTAAACTCTAAGGCAATTCTGGAATTTTGTATTCTATAAAAATTCTGGAGAAAATTCTATAGTAAGTTTATAGAAAATTTTATGGGATTTCTATTGGAAAGTCTGTTAGTATTTGGTCGACTCTATTGAAGGATTTTGAACCTAGGGAATTCTATAATTTAGAAAATGCTATAGGAATCTCTTAGAAAATATATAGACAAGTGCATAGAATTTCTAATTCTACTCATTCTGAACTCTAAGCCAGTTCTACATTTTTGTATTCTATAATAATTCCAGAGAAAATTCTATAAAAATATTATCGTAAATTTGTAGAAAATTATATAGAATATTCCTAGAAAATCTATTTCCGAATTCGAATCATTCTCATCTCTAATTCTATTCTAAATTTCTTAATTTAATTATTCTCTGTTACAACTACCAAGATATTTCCCATAGGAATTCCTCGACATGGATTATCTGTTTTTTTCCACTTGAAATGTTCAAATACCCAATGATCAGTAGTCAATTAAACATACGAGAAATTTCTACGTGAAATGATTAAAATGAATAAACGAACACTATTGTTGGAAACTTCATGTAATTAAGTTTAAAAAAAATAAATTACTCCTGCATTAAATGATTTAAAATGTTTTCAACATAATTAAATAATCTCAACCATTACTTGAACGTTAAATCAAAACCATTAAATTATTCGTATTCACCTTCATGGAAAATCCTGAGGGTGCTGTATTCTTCGGCCATTCGAATGCAGTCGTGTGTATTCTGTTTCCAGATTCCAACAGGAGCACTGCTTTCTCCTCACTCCTCTGCAATCGAATCAAGTACGTTCGATGATCTATGTCGTAGATCTGATTCACCCTCATCCCAATCAATCTGAAATAATTTCCATTCCGACTCTGAATACATCATTGCACAGTTGAAACGACAGGTTATGCACATGACAATGTTTTCATTCTGAATTTTTTTTGTGGAAAAAATTTGAGAGTTGTTTTTAGGAATTCCCTACCTCTGCAGCTCTGCAACAGAGCATACTATGTCGTAGGTGTCGAATCTTGTCTTCATGATGGATGGTGCATGGGACTGGATGAGATGACAGACTGCGACTGGTGACAGCAGAGCAGGTGTCAACTTGAATGAACGAATAAACTGGAGAATCAGGTTAGATGACAGTCGTTACGCATGACTGATGACGTTCAATGAATCTCAAGGATGGGAGCATTGAAGTTTATCGTTGGACGTGATATTCATTGTTTTGGAGAATTTGTTTTTCATTCTGAATTGTTTAAATAACAATGCTGATGTGGAATTGTGGAACGAAGTGGTTTTGCAATGGAGCTTGCTGACCCAACGGTGCGATTTGAATGAATCTGGACTCATATTCAAACTTGGGAAAATACCTTGAAGATGAGAGCTGAGTTGGAAAATTTCACTCTGCTAATGCTCAGTTGTTTATAGTTGACAGGATCGATTTTAGCCGATTTTTTGCACAATTGATGTTTCTCAGATTTCAGTTTTTGTGGAATATCTCGGAATCTAAGATAAAGAGGGAAATTTTTATAGACATTTTTTGTGGAGAATTCCAAGAGCTACAAAAAAGGTTTTAATGTAAATTTCGCTATCTGTCTTAAATTGCGAGATATTAAATGAAAATTCACCCCCAAAATTGATTGCGTGGAAAAATAGATGAATAAACTCAATAATTTTTTTATGAAACGTGCTGATATAGCATTTTATTGTGGTATTGTACATCGTAATGATATAATATCGTCTCTGGCACAATCTCACGATGGCAAGACGTTGCGATAAACAAAAATTCAAAAAAGAAAACATATTTCATCTTGCTATCAACTGTCTCTTTTGTTCACTTTCATTTATCCCAAATATCTCTCTCATAACTCTCTTGTGATACATTACACTATAATATTTCTTGTCCTCTTGTCTTGGGGGTACGCATTGATCAGTTACAATGAAAATGGATGGTTTCTCTCGTCAAAACTATATAATAATAATTAATGAAAAACAAAACAGCTCCATTTAAATGACGAGGGCCTAAATACTCCTAGTTAATTTATGATAAACCCACTGCGATTAACTGTTATTGTGAAATTAAATGAGGCAATGTTGAAAACTACAGCAGAGTCGATCTGGGATGACAATTAAGTACAAAAATCAATTGATTAATCGATCGATCTCATCAATGCGTAATTAATCAATATCAATCTTGCTGAGATCTCCAAACAGTCGCAGTCTTCCCTCAACAACTCTGAAATATTTTTCAACATCGAGATAATGCGATGCGTACGTAAGAGATCCGTTGTCAACTACATTTCATCAACTATCAACGATATTTTTTCAATTCCCCAATTTGTCATGTACATTATCTTTATTTTACTCCATTTTTAAAATTATTAATCTCTTTCCCAAACTTCATATCAACTCGATCAAGTGATTTTTTACTCGTTTTCTGTTATCGTAATTCCATAATTGTTTTTAATTCTAAAGTTTTTTTTTCGTTGTTCTCTCGCATACTCTCGCGCTCCATCAATTTTCGCAAGCATGCAGGCATATTTTCCTATTCCTCACAGAATACAACAGAAATAACAATTCTACGTGTTGTACATATTACTGTCGAATAATATGTTCAGTATGACGAAGTGATGTTTTGAAGGGACTTATCTAGCAAAAACGACTCTTTTCGTTCGATTTTTTTACATATTTATTTAATCACGTCATGAAACGCAATACAAAAAGGTGATTAACGGTAAGATTTCTGGTAGCGAGCCCTGGCGCCTGGACCACCGAATTTCTTGGGCTCGCAGCGTCTTGGGTCAGCAACGAGGAGGGTACGATCGTACTGGATGAGAATGTCCTTGACTTCCTTCTTGCTGGCCTCATCGACGTCTGCAAACAGTGAATAACGAAAATTAATCATTTATTCGTCCACCAATTGATCAGAATATTCACTTTTGAAATTGTCTACTTACACTTTTGGTAGTAAGCCACGAGGGCTTTTGAAATAGCCTGTCTGATTGCGTAAATCTGGGCGACATGACCTCCACCGTTCACACGAACCCTGATGTCAACGCCAGAGAACTTTTCCTATTGAAAAATCATGATAATTAGGATTTAACGATTCTCTATTTAAATGATGATAAACAATATAAATAAATATAAATGAATATTATATAAATAAAGTTGACCTATGTTAATGCAAATGAATAAATAAATTCTGTAATGAATGAAGAGTTGAAAAATAATTTAGAATTGGAGGCAGGATGAGTTCGTTCTCTGTTTTTGGGAAATATCTTTGAATCTTATGGAGATGGCGAAATTTTTGTTGAGACCTTTTTTGTAGCTTGTGAAATGCTCTCCAAAAAAGTCTCCGGAAAAATTTCACCATCACCCTTAGATCTCAAGATATTCCACGAAAACTCATCTGCTCCAAAGTAAAGTTTTCGGTAGCCAAAAAAAATCATTCTCTTGAATCGCCAATATCTCCTGAACTAATGACACGATTCGAATAAATCAGGGCTCACTTCGAAACTTTCAAAAATACCTTCAAGTTAAAAAAAGAAAATTCTATTTCACTCTGCTGATCTCTAATTATTGGTGATTAAACACGGTACGTTTAACCCTTCTCCCTGTTATCCTGTTCCATAACTTAATCAGTAAATTCCAATAAAATTTTTAATTCCAGCGACCAAAGGGCATTGAAAATATCTTCTTCAAAGACTTCCACATAAATTTCACATTGAAAATGTTGAATTCACTGAATTAATCCAGCAATTCTCACGTTTTCACTAATTCCAAATCATCTCTTTTCGTTAAATTCAGGTTTTTCTGTCATGCATTTCGAATTAATTTGTTTAATTACCTTTCCAAGAAGAAGAATTGGCTCCTGGAGTTTGTACTGAAGAACTCTGGGCTCGACGAGCTCCAGGGGCTTTCCATTAACCCTCAGGATTCCACGGCCGCGCTTGCAGTAAGCAACAGCAGTTGCACTTTTCTAAACCGACAAAAACCCATAAAAACCTGCTCATCTAAATGCTTTCTACTCATTGTGAATGCATTTAAAAAAAATATGAACGAGTTAATTGCCTCAATCGACTCAATTCCCCCGTAATTGATTCAGAATTTGAGGTTATAGGGCACACGCCGTGTGACTTTGACAATTAAAAACAGTAATTTACCTTGCGTCCGAAGACTTGGACAGAGTGGATGGGTTCCTTCTGTTTCTGTAACCGAAAATGAGAGGAAAAATTTAATAAACCAATTAATCAACGATTATTTTGACGAATTGGGGACGAAAAATATTATCACACCTTCAGCATTTTGGCGAGCACGTCGTGAAAAGGAAGTCGTCACTCTTGACGAACCGGAAATTGAGAATGTGTGGGCGAATTTTCAATATCATCTGCTGTATGAGTTGTTCTCATGAAAATTTAATTCGTAATCATCTGGAGATCTGCACATGCGCAGACACTCCGAACACCGAATCGGCGGGTGCGCGTGCGTAGCGTCTCCGAGCCGACGCCATGTTGAATTATCGCAAATGGCGCGTCGTGAGGTCATGGCGGAGGCTCGTCAAGTCCATAATCTCCCGAAAATCGTCGATTTATCGAGCGAGGGAGGGGAAAAACGCGGGATCGTGGCTCGGGGTAACCCCACGCGACAACGAAACAAAGGACTCGGCTGAAGCATCGAGTGGTGATTAGTGGATGTGGCAATGATTTTTATCGGGTTGATGATTTTCATTGGACGAACTGTGGTGTTTTTGTTGTGAAAATGGAGACGAGGGACTGATGATGCCGGCCGGCAGCCTTTGTTTATTTACAAAAAGCTGTTTGTCGGGGCCTGGAAGGGTCCAGTGGAGTGTTTCGTGTTTCAACTCGCGTCGTTTGGAATAGATATCCAGTGCAGGAATATTCAAAGTGATCTAGTGTCAATTTTCATGGGGAAATGAATAAAATTGAGGGGAACGATTTTTTTCCGTTGGGTTCAGGCAATTTCGAGGCTTTGGGGCTATTTTTCGTGGGTCAGGGAATTTCTTTCGGTTTTTTTACTTGGACAAATGGAATTAGTTGTTTTGTGAGTGTAAGTGCATTCGAGAGGACTCAACCCCATGGATTGGAATAGAGGTAGCTGGTTGGAGAGGGGAAAACGGAGCTGTTGTTTTCATCCAACGCCGGTGAGTGATTCCAACTCCTTCACTAATTCATTAATTCCATCAATTGTCTATCGACATCCAGGGATAAATAGCACAAACTCAGATGTTACATTTGTAAACGTATATTTGTAATATACGATTTTACCATGTTGCAATACTCACATTCACAATATTTCCACAGACATATTTCTTACATTCGTTTTAAATAAACTACACAGTACATTCGATTTTGTCCCTCTTCTCGTTATCTCAATGTGCCACTGATGGCTAGATTTTGAGATGCATTTGGCTTTGTGTTTGATATAAATAATTCTATGCGAGTGGATAATACTTCTATTACTCAATTCGACGAGTTATGAAACTGTATTAAAATATTCATCATTCTTTCATACGATGTACACGGAAAATCCTCCATTGAAGTACTTCAGGATTTTTTTATTTCATTTTCTCATGGCGTCTCTCTTCACGTTTTTCTTTGTTTCAATTGGAAGGACAACAAAATCGGTTGCATTATGAAATAGGGAATTGAATTTTGAATCAGATAAATTATTAAAATTGTTATTATATCGTAATCATGAGATATTTCCAATTTTCCTGATTTCGTTGGACTACCAGGAAAATTTTTTATTCCAAAACCTTCAATCACGTCTTTTTATTGTAATTCGTTATTCCTTAATGGTCTTTAAAAATTACCCGCTATGCGGAGTTATCTGACGTTCGGACTTTCAGATGACTATCTGATTCGTAATTATCGACACGTGAATATATATAGTGACCATAACCACCAAATATAAATAAATATAAAATGGATCTTTTTGTTGTAAACAGGTAAGTTATTACTAATTTATTTAACTATTTCTCCGGAAATTCATTCTTATCATTTAGTCAATTGTTGAATTATGTCAATAACAAGTGACTTTTTTTTAAATGTCAAGAGACTCTGTTTATAGATAATGTCATCCTCTACAGAAGAATTTCTCAACATTTTCCCTTCAAAATTTCAAGAAATTCTAAATTCCCAGGCGAGCTGCATCTAAAACTAGCTCAAATATCTTCTAAAATATAATTTTCAAATATCTTCTAAACCAACGATGCAATTTTCCCGAGTCTGATCTCATTTCAACCTCCCAGAAAACCCCTTCAAAATGTCACAAAAATTTCGAAAATCGACTCAGCCAAACCCGAGACATTGCCCATTGTAACCACTCAATTGTCCACCAATTCCCCAAAAAATCTATCACTTTAAATTGTTCCACAAACTTTTAGATACGAGGGTGACGAGTCTGAGCGTCCTGAGTCCCCTCAAGACCACCTCTCAGAGCTGCTAAAAAAGATAGAGCTCCGAAAGCAGCAGAAATCAGCAATTCCCCCCGAAACCCCCGAGGAAGAGCCCCCCAGGAAGAAGAAAAAGCGCAAGAAATCGACTCCCCTGATCCCCACAGACGAAACCTCACCCCCTCCTTCGGCGTCTGGAGCCCCTGAGGTCCCCTCCCCAGCCCCTCCCAAAGTGCAGAATAAAAAAGAGCCAGCAGGAGCCAACAATTTCACAATCCTGGGAGTTCCATCAAAACAAAAACCTAAAGCAGTGGCGAGAGTCCTTCCAGAATGGCTGGCCCACCCCGAGATAATCTCAGCTGATCTATCAACAGGTCCAGATGTCGATGAGCTCAGGGGAAAGCTCGACGACAGATTGATCGACATTTTGAAGTCGAATGGAGTGAAGAGGCTCTTTCCAGTGCAGGCAAATCTCATCAATTGGATGTTGAAATGCAGTGAGGACAGGGTGATGGGATTTTGGCCACGAGACACATGTGTTTCAGCCCCCACTGGCAGTGGCAAGACCCTGGCATATGTTCTGCCGATAATTCACCAGCTGAGGAACAGATTTGTGCAGAGGATCAGGTGCCTGGTGGTCCTCCCTGTCCAGGAGCTGGCGGCTCAGATCTTCAAGGTCTTCCAGACCTACGTCTCAACGACGGATTTGAAGGTGGGGTTGATATCTGGAGCGAGCTCCTTCGAGGCTGAACAGGAGAATCTAGTCGAGAGGACGATGAGGGGGGAGCTGGTCAGTCGAGTGGATATTGTTGTGGCTACTTCTGGGAGATTGGTGGATCACATACTGAAGACCGAAGGATTCTCGTTGGAGGTGCTGGAGTTTCTGGTCATTGATGAGGCTGACAGGACCACTGAGTGGCTCAGGCATATCCCAATGCCCCATCGGTGTCCACCGACTTTGACTCTTAGGAATTGGAGGGCCTGGTTAGTTTCAATTCGTAATTTCGTAATTGAAATCAGTAGTGAAGTGGTAAAACGGTTTAAGTCGATTTTGACTATTGGCCAGTTTTTAGGGAATACCTCGGAATCTGAGGGAGATGGCTAAATTTTTGTCAAAACGTTTTTTGTAGCACTCAATTTGCTCTAGAAAAAAGGTTATTTGGAAAATTTCATTATCTCCTTTAGATTCGGAGATATTCTTCAAAAACTCAAATAAGAGATAAGTCGACTTAAAGCGCTTTACCACTTCGCTACTGAAATTTAGTGGTGGGAGATGGTGACACGGATTTTTGAATGGAACGATTTTTAAGGTGGGGACGGGTGAATAGTTGTTTTGAATTGATGTTGAAGGGCTGAACATTCTCGGCATTTACTGGAGACTATGAGAAGATTTAGGCGAAATTCTGAGGGATAATTTAGTGAAGGAGTGAAAAAGGAGTGGAGATTGTAAAATTTTTCATCAGGACTTTCTTTCGTTTTTAGAAAAATTGGTGAAACGTTTTCTGTTATTTCGAATTTCGTAGAGGTCTGTTGCAGTTTAATAATTGGAGATAATGAAGCAGCTTTTTACCTTTTTGCAATGACTTTAAAAAACTTGGGGGCAATTTAATAATCTTGGATGTGAATTTCTGAGGAAGAATAGAACATTCTGTTTATATTCTGCAGATTGATTTCTCGATTTTCATGAGGAAAGGAATGTAGAGATGTGAGGAAACTAGGGATTATTTTTCTAGGATGTCTGTGAATCCAAGGGAGATTGTTAATTTTTTTATCAGAACGTTCTTTCGTATTTAGAAAAATTGGTGAAACGTTTTCTGTCATTTGGAATTTCGTAGGGGTCTGTTGAAGTTAAATAATTGGAGATAACGACACAGGTTTCAAATGTTTAGAATGATTCTAAAAATACTTGAAACAATTAAATAGTCTTGAAATTAAATTGATATTGAAGAGAGAACATTCTCGTTACGTTAAGGACGAAGAGAGAATTGCATTCTCAATTTTCACAAGGAAAAAAATGTGTAGTGGATATTTTGAGGTACAATCCAGTAGAAAACTGGAATCAATGATTAATTTTCTAAGAATATCGGAATGGACTTCTGGGAATTCCCAGAGACCTTGAAAAATCGCAAATTTTAATTATGCCTCAGCAATTGAATGCAATTGGATTCAAATAATAATATTTATAAATCTCAGAATCTAATGCCGATTCGAAAAAAATCCATGAGAATTTTTCTATAGTTCTTCTTTAGGTCTGCAAAAAAATTATCTTTCCTCTCTTGATTGACATTCCATTACACCGAAATTTAAAAAAAATATATTCGTCTCGTTATTCTAGTAAAATCCCACCAGCCCAAAAATTACTATTCTCCGCAACATTATCCCAAGATCCCGAGAAATTGAGTCGTTTGGGGCTGTTTCATCCAATTCTCTTCACATCAGTTGTGATAACAGACAAAGACGATGATGTAGATCTTGACAAGGAAACTGGTGAATTTGTGGGAAGATACACAAGTCCAAATGAATTGATTGAGCGTGCGGTCGAGTGTGCACCTGAATACAAACCAGTTGCACTAGTTAAATTGATCACGTCTCGACAGCCAATTGAGAAGACCCTGGTATTTACCAATTCTGGGGAAGCTTCACATCGGCTTGCTGTACTTCTGAGGTTCATGCTGGCGGATAAAAATGCTGTTGTTGACGAGTTGTCGGCTAAATTGCAGTCGAAACAGAGGACTGAGATGTTGGAGAAGTTTTCTGAGGGGAAGAGTCAAATGTGAGTGTTTTTTCTAGTTTGTATTTTTTTTGGGGATTTTTTAATGCTAATTTTTTCATTTTTCTCAGTTTCCCATTGATCTCGTAAACCTTATTCAATCAGTAAACGATTGATCCTAGAAGAAAACATCATAAGAACTTTTTGTAGCTTATGAAATTGACCACAAAAAATGTCTATTGATATTTTTGCCTAAATCCCCTCCTTCCTCAGAGAAATCAATATTTAACAATCAATGAAAAATTGATTTTTTGCAGATGTCAACTTTCTCATTTTTTTGTTATTTCCTTACTCATCTCGTGAACGATTGATCCTAGAAGAAAACATTACGGGAACTTTTTGTAGCTTATGAAATTTACCACAAAAAATGTCTATTGACATTTTTGCCTAAATCCCCTCATTCCTCAGAGAAATCAAGATTTAACAATCAATGAAAAATTGATTTTTTGCAGATGTCAACTTTCTCATTTTTTTGTTATTTCCTTACTCATCTCATGAACGATTGATCCTAGAAGAAAACATTACGGGAACTTTTTGTAGCTTATGATATTTGCCACAAAAAATGTCTATTGACATTTTTGCCTAAATCCCCTCATTCCCCAGAGAAATCAACATTTAACAATCAATGAAGAATTGATTTTTTGCAGATGTCAACTTTCTCATTTTTTTGTTATTTTCTTACTCATCTCGTGAACGATTGATCCTAGAAGAAAACATTACGGGAACTTTTTGTAGCTTATGATATTTGCCACAAAAAATGTCTATTGACATTTTTGCCTAAATCCCCTCATTCCCCAGAGAAATCAACATTTAACAATCAATGAAGAATTGATTTTTTGCAGATGTCAACTTTCTCATTTTTTTGTTGTTTCCTTACTCATCTCGTGAACGATTGATCCTAGAAGAAAACATCATAAGAACTTTTTGTAGCTTATAAAATTTACCACAAAAAATGTCTATTGACATTTTTGCTTAAATCCCCTCATTCCTCAGAGAAATCAACATTTAACAATCAATGAAAAATTTATTTTTTGCAGATGTCAACTTTCATTTTTTTGTTATTTCCTTACTCATCTCGTGAAGAAAACATTACGGGAACTTTTCGTAGCTTATGAAATTTACCACAAAAAATGTTTTGACATTTTTGCCTAAATCCCCTCATTCCCCAGAGAAATCAACATTTAACAATCAATGAAAAATTGATTTTTTGCAGATGTCAACTTTCATTTTTTTGTTATTTCCTTACTCATCTCGTGAAGAAAACATTACGGGAACTTTTTGTAGCTTATGAAATTTACCACAAAAAATGTCTATTGACATTTTTGCCTAAATCCCCTCATTCCTCAGAGAAATCAACATTTAACAATCAATGAAAAATTGATTTTTTGCAGATGTCAACTTTCATTTTTTTGTTATTTCCTTACTCATCTCGTGAAGAAAACATTACGGGAACTTTTTGTAGCTTATGAAATTTACCACAAAAAATGTCTATTGATATTTTTGCCTAAATCCCCTCATTCCTCAGAGAAATCAATATTTAACAATCAATGAAAGATTGATTTTTTGCAGATATCAACTTTCTCATTTTTTTGTTATTTCCTTCCTCATCTCGTGAACGATTGATCCTAGAAGAAAACATTACGGGAACTTTTTGTAGCTTATGAAATTTACCCCAAAAAATGTCTATTGACATTTTTGCCTAAATCCCCTCATTTCTCAGAGAAATCAACATTTAACAATCAATGAAAGATTGATTTTTTGCAGATATCAACTTTCTCATTTTTTTGTTATTTCCTTACTCATCTCGTGAACGATTGATCCTAGAAGAAAACATTACGGGAACTTTTTGTAGCATATGAAATTCTCCACAAAAGGCGTTTTATGACATTTCCCCCCAAACCCACTCATTACCGAGATAACTCCGCATGAAGCAAAACAAAAAACTCTAAAAGATGACAAAAATCCCTGCAAATTCCCCAATCGCTGTTTAGTTATGTGAATTTATCCCTTCACGAATAGCTTGGTGAGTTCAGATGCATTGGCAAGAGGGATGGACATAGCAGGAGTTAAATTAGTCGTATCCTATGATCTACCAAAGCACATAAAGGGCTACATTCACAGAGCTGGACGTACTGGACGCGCTGGATTACCAGGAACTGCTATTTCAATACTCACGTCCAATCAGGTTTCTGTCTTCTCTCGAATGCTCACTGCTGCCCACAAAGCATTACCTCCCATTGACCAGTTTGAATCGCTTGAGTCCGTTGCTGAGGCTATGAATTATCAGGCGCATGTGGAGAAACTCAAGGAATTTATTGAGAACGAGAGAACAAAGGAAATTAAACGGATCAAAGCAAGGCGCAAACGTGGACGTAAAAATTAATTAAATCATTGTAAAATGCTCCGACACTCGACGATGTAAGATTGATAATAAAAAACAGTGTTTCAACATCGATAATAACATTTTATTGTCTTGAGTATTTAAGATGCTATACGTCGTACCTCTCGTTATCTTTACATTCTCAATGAAATCGAATATATTTTTTGACTTCTCTCCCACTTCATTCTTCAAGGCATATTATTTACATTTGTTATTTTTTATTTGTCAATTTATAAAAGATAAATGGTGTTATTTCATTGGTATTTCATCAACAACGAGCACAGAGTCTGGGTTTATTAGGGTAAAAGCACATTGGATTTTATTTACTTTTCAGTTTTCGCTGAATATCTTGGAATGGAGAGGGGATAGCGACATTTTGGTAATGACCTTTTTTGTAGCTCGTGAAGTTCTCTGCGAAAAAGGTTTTCATCAAAATTTCGCTATCTCCATTAGATTCGGAGATATTCACCAGAGAGTGAAATCCGATTTTATTGGACTTGAAAGAGACTAGATTGAATAATAATCTTTAATGCTGAATATCTTGAGACTGGTAGAGTGAAATTCACCATTTTTTTTTCATTTTCAAGGTACTTTTTCAATCTTCGAAATGACCTTTCACTTGTCCAAATCGAATTATTCCTTCAGGAGATATTGAAGATTGAATTCTGTCAAGTTTCATTTTTGCAATGAATTTCTATGAACGTGGCTTTTACCCTACTTAATCGTTGACTTCTCCCAATTATCACTGCTTCTTCGACTTTAATTTCATTTTTAACGAGAGATTAAATTATTAAAGCTCGCGTACAAACCCCATTTTGGAGTGAAATTATCATCAATATGAAGCACTTATGAATCTACTAGCCAAAAGACAAATAAAATGTCGAATGTATTCTTTCGATTCATTTTTTTTTTCTCCGTGGATATGTATTCAATACCATTACCATCGAGAAATATCTTCTAATCAATTAAATGTGCGTGAACATTTTTCATCAGACTTTGTTCGCGTCTTTTCGTTGCTCGTTTGATTCTTTTGCATTGCACATAGAGTTATTATTTTCATCGATTTCACATATAAAATCTAACATTCTTTCGGCATCTCCATGATTACATACTCCTCCTCGCACCTCATATTTTTATTTATTTATGTACAGTAGTAAATAGATTGTATTCTAGTAGTATTTACACAGTAAACGTGGTCCTATGCAATTCATATGTGTCGTTGCCGTGTATGTTATCATTCGTATTTTTCATTCTTCGATAAAAAAATCAACTCGAAATTAAACTATTCAGCGAAATAATTCTTTGTTTCTCTCGTTTTATTCGTGAAATGAATACTGATTTTAGTTGTGATGTTGTAAAATGTAATAGAACGAGGGCTGGTTGACCCTCAACTAGAAATTAATTGTTTTGAGGGCCAATGACCCTTAAGGACGTTTGAAGTTGAGGGTCAAATGGCTTTTAACGTTTGGACGTTTAGAGTTTAGGTTTAAATGTTTTCAAGGGGCAATTGAACCTTTCCTATTATTCTGCTTTAATCTACTCGACCGTTGATCCCATTTGACCTTTAACCCAAAATGTTCTGCAGCGTTGTTTGACCCCAACGCCATTTGACCCTCAATTAAAAATTAAGGGTTTTTTGAGGGGCAATGAGCCTTAAGGACGTTTGAAGTTGAGGGTCAAATCGTTTTAGGGTCAAATGGCCTTTAACGTTTGGACGTTTAGAGTATAGGGTTAAATCGGTTTAAGGGGCAATTGACCCTTTCCTATCATTCTGCTTTAATCTACTCGACCTTTGAGACCATTTGACCTTTAACCCTTAATGTTCTTCAGGGTTGTTTGACCCCAAAGGCCATTTGACCCTCAATTAAAAATTTATAGTTTTGAGGGGCAATGACCCTCAAGGACGTTTGAAGTTGAGGGTCAAACGGCCTTTAAGGACGTTTGCAGTTAAGGGTTAAGCAATCTTGAGGATCAAATTGTCTTGAAGGGCAAAGAACTCTAGGAGACGTGGGTCACGGGCCAAATGACCCTTTTTTCTTCAACCCTTAAAGTTCGTAAGGGCTGTTTGACACTCAAGATCATTTGACCTTCATCTGTATATGTTCTTCAAGGTTATCTGACCCTCAAAACCATCAGCCCTCAACTCCGAAGGTTCTAAAGGCTGTTCGACCCTCAACTAGAAATTAATCGTTTTGAGGGTCAATGACCCTTAAGGACGTTAGTAGTTGAGGGTGAAATTTTCTAAAATGACAAAAATCAACACACATTTTACAACTTCACTAACAAATTTAAAATCCGCAATAGAAAATTTAATCATAAAAAAATTCACAGTATAATAACATACGTTACGAGCTCAATAACATTTTTTCTAATTCATCTATTCAACTTTACATTATCTTTATGATGGCTGAAACTTCAGAATTCATAATTCAGTGGTGAAGTGGTAAAAGCCTATTCCGCTCAGACTTCAGTGGTTTTTTCTGTTCCAGAAATCCCTTTGAGGAATAATTTTTTATAAATACCTCAGTATCCATATTCTCCAAAAATTAATCCTCAAGTGGAGTCGATGCACCAAGTGTCCCTTCACTACTGAATTCAATGTGACTTTTAACACGATTTTTATTACGCAATGAAAATCTCGATCAAACGCTTTTATTCTTAATTCTCGACGTTATATTATTTATTGTCTCAGCGCCTCGGCTCTCAGTATTACGTCTGATTAGTGAATAACTCGTGGTCCTAACTCGAGATGAAAATTGAAACGATTCAAAGTCTTTCAATTTATGTTATAGTAATGGAGTGGAATGGAGGCATTCGCTTATCAGGTCTTGTAATTATCTTGGTGTTTATCTGCAGAGTCTGGTGAGATGAAAGCTTGAGAAAATTTTCATCAGAGATGTTTTGGGGGGCTAGCTCTGTGATGACCCATTTCCCGCTGAATGGATCCTGTAGGATCACTTCACCTTTTTTTTCTTCAGAGAATCATCACTTTTTTTTCGTATTTCAAGCTTGAATGGTGCGTGATGTTATCGAATAGTCTAGACTTTGGTACGTCATATTGTCGGAATTTCAAGTGAGTCATTAAAGGGGTCGTTAGGGTCTGAATGGAGACTATTGTGTAGCGAAGTGATTAAACATAATGAATCAATTCCAATATTTTTTTAATTTTCGGCGACTTCGAAGCTGACACTTTTGTTAATTGTGTATTTATTTAAAAAAACGAGTGATTCTACGAAAAAAAGTCAAGAACTTCTTTGCAGCTCTTGAAATTCGCTACAAAAAATTTTTTTCGCATTTTCATCGAAAAGCCTTCATTATTGAGATAATTTACTAATTAACGGAACATAAAATCGGTGCCTTTGAAACTAGAATCTGAAATTTATATTAATTTCACATTTATCTTAAAAAGGGTGATTCTACGACAAGAAGTCACTGGAATTTTTTTGTAGTTCTTGAAATTTTCTACAAAAAATGTTTTGTGACATGTTTCATTTAAATTACTCATAATTCAATATTCAACGAGAAGAGAGAATAAATTTTTTCTTCTCTTCTCTGCGATATTTTATCGGTTTTCTTTCTCAAGTCTTTAAATTCCCCAAAACTCCATCCAACAGCATCCCACTCCAACGAAATACCGCAATCATTAAAAAATACATCCGTCAAATCTACCACATTTCATCTGCTTTCTAGTCGGACTAAAATTGAATATCTCTACTTAATAATTCACCTGCAATAGCGAGATTATATACACCCCCATCGGGTAATTCCGTTCGCCTAGCGTCATGATATTGGTCATTAATCCAACTAATGGTACCATTAAAAAAAATGGGGAAGACAATTTACAGAATTCTTAAAATCACGGTAATAACCATTAATAGTCCCTTCGAAACCCATCAGTTAATTCATTCCGATGGTAATCCACAATGGCTAATGAATGGAAAAATGCGAAACGGAGAATTCTTGGATAATTCACCGTTAAATGCTCGATTAATCGAACAAATATGGGCCCGCAGAGTTTTACCCGCATATATTTCGTATCATTACACGCTCATTCCAATTACGATACTCGTTAAATTAGTTTCAATTGGTTGCGTATCAGAGCTGGGTAATATTTCATAGAGAACTAGTCATTATGGCTGACTATTTGAATTATCGCAAGTTCATTAGTCTGGACAACTGAATAATTATTCATTTTGGCTTTGAAAACAGAAATTGAATGAACATTTACGATTTTAGTCAATCAAAAATAAAATTAAAATAAAATTATAAATTAAGCGTTTGTTTGTCAGATTGGACTGATAATTGGTCACGAGAATCTCAATTAATAGGGGAGAATGGGCCGAAAAGATACTTTGCACAATTTAAGAAACTTCTTTCTTCGTTTTTAGCTGAGGGTCAAATGGTTCTGAAAGGCAAACGAGCTTTAAGGAGGTTTGAAATTGAGGGTGAAATTGTCTTGAGGGTTGTTTGACCCTGAAGACGATTTGACCCTCATTTGAAAACCTTCTTAAGGATCATTTGACCCTTAAAAACATTTGTTTCTACTTGACGGTTAAATGGTGTCGAGGGTCAAATGAGGGTCACGAGAATTAAATGAGTCTCAAGGACGTTTGGAGTTGAGGGTCAAATTGTCTTGAGGGTTGTTTAACCCTGAAAACCATTGGACCCTCAATTGAAAACCTTAAGGATCATTTGACCCTCAAAACCATTTCTTTCTAGTCAAGGGTCAAATAATGTCGAGGGTTAAAGGAGTCTCAAGGACGTTTGGAGTTGAGAGTTGAATGGTCTTGAGGGTCGAACAACCCTTAAGAACGTTTGGAGTTGAGGGTCAAATGGCCCTTGATGGTGTTCAGGGCTGAGGGTCAAATGCATTTAGGACCATTTGACCCTCAACTAAAAAAAAAGTTTTCTTTATTGTATTCCCTCAATTGAACCCCAAAACCGTTTGCCCTTCAACTAAAACAAAAAAAAAAGTTTTCTTAATTGTATTCCCTCAATTGAAATGTAATTTTCCCCAGCTCAGAATACGCCAGCATTCACACGCGATACTAAACCTCTCTCATATGTACATAAATTTGGCAGATCAGAATCAGACCATAAAGTCCATTTAAATCGTAACCCTCTGACGATATAATGAGGCAAATAGCAGCAGAAAAATTCCCTGAAACGACGGATAGAGGCTCTGAGTGGCTGATACCATAGTTACCCAAGGTCGCTCGCTGAATGTGAAGGGCCTCTCCGTTCTGTGACCCTCCTGAGTACTCCCCCCCATTACTTGAGTCGTACCGAAGTCCTCAAATCCACTCAAGTAATTATCGGTCTCCTCTTGATGATCGTAGGGTCTTCTGTGTACTTTCTTCTTCCCGTTTGTTTTCTTTCGAATTTTTGCGTCTGTGTGACGAGTCACTGGGCCTGGTGTTGTTTCTGTTACTAGTTCCAATTCTGTAATTATTAATTATCATTTCCGGAATTGTTTTGAGTCAATTTTTCCCACGATGAACATGGTATCAGTTACAATAAGGGCATAAACTTTGTATTTTTTTGGAAATGAAAATTCAAAGTTGAACGCAGTAGATGAGAAACTATGATAAAAAAATTTCAATATTGCATAAGTTAATTGAATGAAAAAGAATTCAAGGGAAGTAATGAGAGAATAATAATGAAACAATTTTTAAAAATGATTCAATTATTATTTGTTTTTTATTATTGAAAGTTGTTTTTTTAAATTTTTTCTCACATTCCACGTGAAAAATATGATTAAATTCCTCCACAAATCACCAAAAAAAATCCTGAATAAAAATTTGAAGGATATCCAAGTACTTGGCTATTTTTTCCCCAGTGAAACTTTTCTCCCCCACTTTAATTGACAAATTTGACGATTGAAAATAGTTGAATCTATAGTGTGGTCTGTACCAAACTGTAAAACCTCCTTAAATACCCTCAATATTCCCAAAACCGATTGAATACAATGAAATAACTAACGAGAGAATAATCATTAATTCACTGAATAAATTGATTGAATTTTTTCACTTTCAATTTTTTCTCACTTCTCGCATAAAAATAAATCGGAAATCTCCCCTGAAAAACCTCGTTATCCTCACATCCAATAAACTACCTTTATTAATCCTTCGTTTTCTTTGACCACACGTCGATATGCGAATAATGATTAACGATGGGGGGGTGGGGGGGGGCGAAGGGAGAGGGAGGGATTGATCAAACATTTCTCGGCTACCAAAGCCTCTCCACAGATTGAAACGAAGCTTAAATGGTATTGAGAAGGGGGGGGGGGATGAATCCACTTCATACCATCGTTTTCCGTCTCTACACCTGTTGCACCTGAGCCAACCACCCACCCACTCACCCACTGGCCCATCTATCTATCCTCGTGCAGTTCGCGCTAATAGCCCTAGAGAGTTGAGAAGGAGTGGGGGGCTGGGGTGAATGGATTAATTCATCGTTACCTTGCAAACGCACACTGGCCTCTGCTTTCCCCAGGGCATTGACTGCTGCACAGGAGTATCCACCAAAGTCCTTTTTTTCTAAATTGTGCACAGTGAGATTCATCTGCCATGAGTACTCGTTGTGCTGGAATTCTGTCATCGTGTATTTTCCACTTGGCAGCAGTTTTTCACCTGTTTTATTAATTTTTTTTAAGGCCCGGGAGTACTATCTTTCGAATGTTAACTGGATTTTTTTTATCTTTCGTAATCCAAAATTGTCAATTGAGTGGTACGTCATGTAGAAATTCCCAAAAATTATGATAGAATGATAGAAAAAAATTGAAGAAATTAGGAACTTTTTCAAGGAGCGTTTTTAATTGAGGTTCAGAATTTTTCAAAACTTCTGCATGATGCAGGACTTAATTGACAATTTCAGATGACGAAGGATGAAAAAAAATGTCGAGATAACGTTCGAAAGACAGTACACCCGGGCCTTAAATTATTATGGGAGGTTTTGCATTAATGATCGGGGGTTGAATACTTCAACTTTTATTTTTAGGCGTTTATGGGAATGTTTGAAGGGAGGATGACATTAAATTTATGGGTGATAAATTCAATAGTTGGGTGAAGACTGAAAATTAACTGCATTCCGAATTAGAGTGGATTGAATTCAATCGTCAGTAACTCCACATGCGCTGAGTTAAATTCAGTGATATCTCATTATTACATCTCCAGAAAATATTCAATAAACTGTGTAAACGTCATGTTGTCATGAAATTATAGTTAAAAAAATGAATTGCATTTCGCTTCAGAGTGGGTTGAATTCAATCGACGATAACTCGCCATTCACTGAGTGAAATTCAACGATTTTTCTTTACTTTCAAGGTATTTTCTTAAACTTTAAAATGAGGTACGATTTTTCTGGCTCGGATCATTTGTTTGGGAGATATTGAAGATTGAAAATATCAATTTTGATTCATCTTTAATTAGAAGTTTCAGCATGTGGAAATGCATTTTTTCTACGGAAATGAAAACTTTATTTTGATTATTTTATTTTATTATTTTATTATTGAGAGTTAATAATCCTTTGGAGATGAATTGCTTCGTCTCTTCGTTAATTTTCGATTAAAAATCCAAAAGTCGAGTTGAGAGGATAATTTATAAAGCCTCTCGAAGGCTTACCTTTGAAGAAAAATCAAGAAATATTGTACCTTTATCCCTGAACCAAGTATTCATAGCACGTGGCGATGCCTCAACGGAGCACTGAAGTGTTACGTTTCTATTAACCGGTGCTCCCACAAGCTGATTCGTCACCTTTATCATTGGTTCAACTGTAATTCCAAGGGTAATTCCAAACTAGTGAAAAATAAGGGTAATCTGAACATCGAATTCTATTCAGGAAGTCACATCACTTTTTTCAAACACCAAAAATGTGTGATGGATAATTTATTAACTTGAAATCTGAATGATCGACTTTATAATTGACTTTTGCAATAAAAATATACGTCGAGTGTCTTTTCATGTTTGTCAACATTTTTTGAGAGTTTTTCATGTGATTTTTCGTAAAATTAATCGTATAGAGAATGTAATTACTCAATTCCTTATGAAAAATGGATAGAAAGTGCATTCAAAGCATCTCCAAAAACAAGAAATTTATGAGAAATGGCTGAAATTTTCAATTCGATATTTCTGACACTTGAAAAAGTGGTGTGACGCCCTGAACGGAACTAAAACCGACGAAAAGGAGGAAAATTTCTTCATTTTTCTGAATTAAAAAAACGGGAAATTCCACGAACGGAATAGTGTAGAAAAATATTATGATATTCAGAGAGGGTACTCACAATGCACTTGTACGGAGTAACGTTTGCTAATGGTGGGTGGTACTCCATTGCTGGCGATACACAGGTATGTGCCCATTTCCTGTCGTATAACACCAGTCAAGTTGAGGGTTTCACCGTCGTAGCTTTTCACAGCTGTGAAAACAATAATAAAACGAAATTATGGGGATTAAAAATAGTGGGGGTGGAGAAAATTTAGCCCGAAGACGACAGAATAATAGTTTCTTCAGGAGTCTCCCCTAGTTAGAAAATTATCCTTAGAATCATTTGCACGCCACTTAGCGATCCGCTCTTGCACTCCGGCCTCAAAAAACATTCACATCTTGTCTGCCATCTCTGCCATGAACTCTGGAATCGAACTCTGGAAATAGAGTTCCACAACCACAAAAATTATCAAAAATTTCAAACAACGCGCCATGCGCCAGTTCCAGATTGTTGTTTTTGGTTCAAATTGTATTACAAAAATGTTGACGCAACATAAAGGGAAATACACGTTTTCTCCCAGTTTTGCGCCATGGGCATGAGGATGTTTTTTTCTTTTTTTTATTCGAAAAAAACCTAACTTTCGATGCGCAACATCTTTTTCTAGAAAATGTACCAGTTTTCCGCCACGGTATTAGTTAAAATATCCACAGAATTCTGCATGTGGCGTGCTTACTTTTTTCTCTAGTATTTGTGAAAATCTTATCCCCTACAAAAACAATAGCAAGCACGCCATGTGCAGGATTCTGTGGATATTTTAACTAATACTGTGGCGGAAAACTGGTACATTTTCTAGAAAAAAAATGTCAAAATTAAAGTTATGCTTATACTACTTGAATTCTCTAAAAACAAATGGTATAACAGGGACTCTACCACTCAGACGTCCTTAAATGAAACTCCCGAGGGAATAAAAAAAGTTACGAGGATAATTTGAGACGTGGGGGCTACGTAATGAAGGAATGGCAGAGATGTGTGGTGAAAGGCACGAGGACAGTAAATTCAAGATGTCCGAGGGGCAGTACTCTGTAATAGGGGGATGTTCCCTGCGCTACGGGTTATTCTAGGAGATGAGAAAACGACTGTAACTTTTTGGAAAAGGGTTTGGGCACTGACTCCAGATGGTGAAAACGATTTAACGCGCCGGATTGCGCGTGCAATACCACTTTCAGGAGAAAGACAATTCACTCGTTTTCTCTTTTTTTCTTCTCGCGATGAAATTAGAGAGGATTGGGGGGTGGGGGGATGGGGATTTTTTTTTCTCGTGATGGGAATTGAATAGCTTACACAATTTTTCACGTCCCTCCTCGCGGAGAGTGATGTTTCGGCCGTCCTCTCGCCTCCATGTGACCATTGGTTGGGGTATCCCTGTTGCTTTACAACGGAGTTTTATATTGCCACGCTCACGGGTCACCATACCGTCTGTTGAATCCTCGTCAATTATGTCGGGGGGTATCTGGACCACCATGTGTCCCATCTTTTGAAAAAAATTGTTTTTTCTTTCAATTTTTTAAAAATTAGTTTGCATTCAATATCAATTTTTTTAGTAATTTAAATTTTTTGAATGGCACTTGGGGGGGGGGNAAAAGTAGTCAAAATATATGAGACGTATTCGACCAGTATCTGGATAATTTGTATTAATTATTTATTTTTTTATTAGTTGAAATTTTTAATATTTCATTTTCAGAGAAAAATAAATGATTTATTTAAATTAAAGAAACTTTAATTCAAATAAATTTCCGAAATAAAAAAAAACGATTTTCTTGACGTTTCATTATTTATCTGTTGATATTTGGGAATGATGAAGTTCTGGGGATTGTGATCTTCATCAGAACTATTTATAAATGATCAACTTGTTCTCGACGTAATTAAATTTCCCTGAAAACGGGAAAAGTACTCACTTGACTTCGCATTGGGTCTGTATTGACCTGACACATATAAGTACCAGAGTCATTGTTCTGTACGTTAGAAATGTGAAGTTTCCACGTGTTGTGTCCATTGTGAGTCACTGACAATCGAGGGTTGTGTGTCACCATGTGCGTATGAATTGCAAGAATCGCACGGGAATCTGACTTTATCCAGGCAACCTGTGCAGAAAAGAATGAAAATACATTATAATTTCAAATCGACTACGCTATTAAAAATTTTCATCTGAATTTTCGGCGTCAAATCCGAAACACTTTTATGGTGTTTAAATTCATACATTCAAATTTCAAGAAATGAAATCATTGCCGGAGTCGAGGATTTGGTTCTGCTTGGACAGACACAGGTCTTTCAAGATTTCTCCAGATCTAGATTGACCTGGTAAGTCCTAATCAGTTCTGCGACGTAGTTTTCCGGGGACCTTTCGAATCCTCAGTTGTTTCCGGCCCTGAGAAGTCCTCCTCTATAGTATAATCAACAGAACGTTGATTCTGTATTTATTGACCTCCCTGATTCCAATGAAATCCTCGGAGGCGACAGAAAAGACGGAAAAAAAAATTTTCATTTTCACTGGGTCAAGGGTCAGATCTTGGATTTTCTCATAGGGAAAGTCGACTTTCGGCAAAATCGCATTTTTTTGCCGAGTGAAAGTTGATTCCGACTATTCAAGTGACGGGCTATCCAGAACTCTTAAAAGTATGTGGAAAAAGCATAAACTGAAAAAGTTTTTTTTTTCAGATTTTCAAAGGGTCAGATTTTCCGTTTTCCCAGGGGGAAAGTCGACTTTCACCAAAATCGAATTTTTTAGCCGAGTGAATGTTGATTCCGTATTTATTGACCCCTCTAATGCCAATGGAACCCTCGGACGCGCCAGAAATGTCGAAATAAAAAATTTTTTTTTCACCCAGGGCCAAAGTGTCAGATCTTGGATTTTTCTCGGGGGAAAGTCGACTTCCGCCAAAATCGAATTAGCTGTGTGAACTTGGAGACGAAGTTTGATAAATCAATTTTTTTTCTTATAGTATCGATTGTACTCAGTGAGTATGTGAATGTGCCACATTCATTTTTGTTTGTACCCCGCACCACTAGACGTAAGGGGTGCGGGAAAAATCGTGCAGCGTCGGAAATGAAGGTACGGAAAAAAATTTCATGAGCAAGGACTCAGCATGGATAGCACCTGTATGTAATATATTTTTCTATTTCATTAATCAACCCTTTCAATACTTCACCCCCTTCTAAAATCTTAAATGTATGAGGGACGTCAGGAAAACATACAGATACCTTCTAAATAGTTAGTACTCGTTTGTACCAACGAAAATTATTCATTATTATTATTATTATTATTATTATTATTATTATTATTCTCATCAAATCACCTGATTCCCTTTTTTATCAACCGTAAAATCATCGTAATGGATTCCATATGTAGTTCGTGAAGTTTTGATGTGAGTACAAACGTTTCATCTTCCGTACTTCCACTCCCATCGCAGTACAAACGGAACAATTTAATGTACATGATAATGAGACCAAGTGCAAACCATTGAGAGCTTCAAAAACAGTCGTAGATTATTCAGAAAAATGGTACAAACGTTTTTCTGAATTTTATTGGTGGTTAGTGACGTGTAGGTGTTGGTATCGCGAAAAACCAAATCGCAAAAAAAAAAAATTTTCTTAAATTATAATTTATTTTATCTTGTATAGGGTGTAGGAAGTGGAAAAACGCAATTCTGAGGCGTCCGTTTGCCTATAGGGGACCCAAATTTAGGTTTTAAGGCTCTATCTCTCATAGTTTCCGAGAAAATCGCGAAAACCCAAATCGCAAAAAAAAAAAAATTTAATTTAGCTTGTATAGGGGGTAGGAAGTGGAAAACCGCAATTCTGAGCCGTCGATCCGCCTATAGGGAACCCAAATTTCCTCAGGAATCGAATGGAATAAGTTTTAAGGCTCTATCTCTCATAGTTTCCGAGAAAATCGCGAAAACCCAAATCGCAAAAAAAAAAAAATTTAATTTAGCTTGTATAGGGGGTAGGAAGTGGAAAACCGCAATTCTGAGCCGTCGATCCGCCTATAGGGAACCCAAATTTCCTCAGGAATCGAATGGAATAAGTTTTAAGGCTCTATCTCTCATAGTTTCCGAGAAAATCGCGAAAACCCAAATCGCAAAAAAAAAAAAATTTAATTTAGCTTGTATAGGGGGTAGGAAGTGGAAAACCGCAATTCTGAGCCGTCGATCCGCCTATAGGGAACCCAAATTTCCTCAGGAATCGAATGGAATAAGTTTTAAGGCTCTATCTCTCATAGTTTCCGAGAAAATCGCGAAAACCCAAATCGCAAAAAAAAAAAAATTTAATTTAGCTTGTATAGGGGGTAGGAAGTGGAAAACCGCAATTCTGAGCCGTCGATCCGCCTATAGGGAACCCAAATTTCCTCAGGAATCGAATGGAATAAGTTTTAAGGCTCTATCTCTCATAGTTTCCGAGAAAATCGCGAAAACCCAAATCGCAAAAAAAAAAAAATTTAATTTAGCTTGTATAGGGGGTAGGAAGTGGAAAACCGCAATTCTGAGCCGTCGATCCGCCTATAGGGAACCCAAATTTCCTCAGGAATCGAATGGAATAAGTTTTAAGGCTCTATCTCTCATAGTTTCCGAGAAAATCGCGAAAACCCAAATCGCAAAAAAAAAAAAATTTAATTTAGCTTGTATAGGGGGTAGGAAGTGGAAAACCGCAATTCTGAGCCGTCGATCCGCCTATAGGGAACCCAAATTTCCTCAGGAATCGAATGGAATAAGTTTTAAGGCTCTATCTCTCATAGTTTCCGAGAAAATCGCGAAAACCCAAATCGCAAAAAAAAAAAAATTTAATTTAGCTTGTATAGGGGGTAGGAAGTGGAAAACCGCAATTCTGAGCCGTCGATCCGCCTATAGGGAACCCAAATTTCCTCAGGAATCGAATGGAATAAGTTTTAAGGCTCTATCTCTCATAGTTTCCGAGAAAATCGCGAAAACCCAAATCGCAAAAAAAAAAAAATTTAATTTAGCTTGTATAGGGGGTAGGAAGTGGAAAACCGCAATTCTGAGCCGTCGATCCGCCTATAGGGAACCCAAATTTCCTCAGGAATCGAATGGAATAAGTTTTAAGGCTCTATCTCTCATAGTTTCCGAGAAAATCGCGAAAACCCAAATCGCAAAAAAAAAAAAATTTAATTTAGCTTGTATAGGGGGTAGGAAGTGGAAAACCGCAATTCTGAGCCGTCGATCCGCCTATAGGGAACCCAAATTTCCTCAGGAATCGAATGGAATAAGTTTTAAGGCTCTATCTCTCATAGTTTCCGAGAAAATCGCGAAAACCCAAATCGCAAAAAAAAAAAAATTTAATTTAGCTTGTATAGGGGGTAGGAAGTGGAAAACCGCAATTCTGAGCCGTCGATCCGCCTATAGGGAACCCAAATTTCCTCAGGAATCGAATGGAATAAGTTTTAAGGCTCTATCTCTCATAGTTTCCGAGAAAATCGCGAAAACCCAAATCGCAAAAAAAAAAAAATTTAATTTAGCTTGTATAGGGGGTAGGAAGTGGAAAACCGCAATTCTGAGCCGTCGATCCGCCTATAGGGAACCCAAATTTCCTCAGGAATCGAATGGAATAAGTTTTAAGGCTCTATCTCTCATAGTTTCCGAGAAAATCGCGAAAACCCAAATCGCAAAAAAAAAAAAATTTAATTTAGCTTGTATAGGGGGTAGGAAGTGGAAAACCGCAATTCTGAGCCGTCGATCCGCCTATAGGGAACCCAAATTTCCTCAGGAATCGAATGGAATAAGTTTTAAGGCTCTATCTCTCATAGTTTCCGAGAAAATCGCGAAAACCCAAATCGCAAAAAAAAAAAAATTTAATTTAGCTTGTATAGGGGGTAGGAAGTGGAAAACCGCAATTCTGAGCCGTCGATCCGCCTATAGGGAACCCAAATTTCCTCAGGAATCGAATGGAATAAGTTTTAAGGCTCTATCTCTCATAGTTTCCGAGAAAATCGCGAAAACCCAAATCGCAAAAAAAAAAAAATTTAATTTAGCTTGTATAGGGGGTAGGAAGTGGAAAACCGCAATTCTGAGCCGTCGATCCGCCTATAGGGAACCCAAATTTCCTCAGGAATCGAATGGAATAAGTTTTAAGGCTCTATCTCTCATAGTTTCCGAGAAAATCGCGAAAACCCAAATCGCAAAAAAAAAAAAATTTAATTTAGCTTGTATAGGGGGTAGGAAGTGGAAAACCGCAATTCTGAGCCGTCGATCCGCCTATAGGGAACCCAAATTTCCTCAGGAATCGAATGGAATAAGTTTTAAGGCTCTATCTCTCATAGTTTCCGAGAAAATCGCGAAAACCCAAATCGCAAAAAAAAAAAAATTTAATTTAGCTTGTATAGGGGGTAGGAAGTGGAAAACCGCAATTCTGAGCCGTCGATCCGCCTATAGGGAACCCAAATTTCCTCAGGAATCGAATGGAATAAGTTTTAAGGCTCTATCTCTCATAGTTTCCGAGAAAATCGCGAAAACCCAAATCGCAAAAAAAAAAAAATTTAATTTAGCTTGTATAGGGGGTAGGAAGTGGAAAACCGCAATTCTGAGCCGTCGATCCGCCTATAGGGAACCCAAATTTCCTCAGGAATCGAATGGAATAAGTTTTAAGGCTCTATCTCTCATAGTTTCCGAGATAATCGCGAAAAACCAAATCGCCAAAAAAAAAAAATTAATTTAGCTTCTATACGGTGTAGGAAGTGGAAAAACGCAATTCTGAGCCGTCCGGTTGCCTATAGGGGACCCAAATTTAGGTTTTAAGGCTCTATCTCTCATAGTTTCCGAGATAATCGCGAAAAACCAAATCGCAAAAAAAAAAAATTTAATTTATCTTGTAAAAATCTTAAAAAAAAAAATTTAATTTAGTTTGTATAGGGTGTAGGAAGTGGAAAAACGCGCTTAGTACAATGTCGTACATTCAGGTACTCACTTAGTACAATCGATACTATATGAAAAAAAATCGATGTATCAAACTTCGACTCCAAGTTCACACAGCCAATCGAATTTTTCGTCAAGTGAACGTTGATTCTATATCTACTGACGTTTCTGATGTTAATGAAACGATCGGAGTTGCCAGAAATATCGAAATAAAACATTTCCATTTTTACCTGGAGGAACAGTTAAAAGAGTTAAAATTTCGAAAAATTTCCAGTAGCTTTGGCGTCGTTTGCATACAATGACGATAATTCGAGGGTATATTTCATCTTCACTAAATAATTGTCTCAAGTATTTGAATTTGCATGAAAAATTTTATTCATTAGAAATTTGCGAATATTTTTTTTTCAATATTCACATAAATATAATTTTTTTTCATTTTACATACCAATAAAATGAAATGCCTATTTGAATTCAATTCCCACAGAACAGTTTCTCGATAGAAAAACAATTTACCTTGTACCCTTGAAGATGATTAACAACACACGTGAAGAAAACATCTCTTCCCTGTGTAACTGTATGATTCTCCAGCGGTGCAAGAAACACTGGAAGTACTTCTGTTGCACTCTGACCTAGAAACAAAAAACCCATAAAAATAATTATAGCCCCATGAAACATCCAATCGACTCATTCTCCCCAATAAAAAAAATATTTACTCGAGTGTATGGGGAGTGGAACGTATCAGTTCTCTGAATGCAATAAAACCCCTGTTTCATATGCTTGTGAAATTCCATCGAATTCTTGTATGCACTCATCCAAAGATTGAAGACAGCCACTGCGGGGTGAAGGAATTGGGGGATGAAAAAAAAACCGAGTCAAGTAAGAGTGAAAGAGTGTGTGAGCGATAAATGGAAAAATTCTTGACTTGGAATCGTAATCCAGGGAGTCAGGCGGTGCGGGGCGAGGGGGGGGGGGGAAATGTCGTTTTCATGGGGAGCTTTTATAGCTTGGCCAGAAGCACGCAAGGAATTCTAATTTGGCAGGGCTTCATCCACTTTCCACGAGCTCTTATCGCTCTTTTTTTCCTTACTTTCTTATTTTTCTCTTTTTTCGTTACTCTTTTAACTTTTCTCACCACACTTGACACTCCCGCGGTGTATATTCATTTTAGATGACTAAATTAATCGAAAAAATTGACTGTTTTCGGTTTTTTAAAATTGATATTGTTTTTCATTGAAAATGAAGTTTTTTGTTTGAGTGGTGGAAGTGATGTGATGACCCATCTGGCCTCAGTATTTGTCGAAAGATTGTGAAAATTAATTTTATTGAGTGCTAGCTTCCCCCCATCCCCGCTGGTTATTTCACTTGTCAAACCCCTGCGAGTTATTTGCTCCGTTTCTTGCAATAAGGTCTCCATAAGACTTCAACACGACCTTGTTCTATACCTATATGACGTTTCGCTCGCCTTGTAAGACCTTTATGAGGTCCTATATGACCGTCAAATGGCACCTATTACCTCCATCGGCCCGCTGTGACCTTCATCTGACCCTGTATGACTTTCATACGACTGTTTTCATCTTTATCTGGCCCTACATGACCTTCACATGGTCATATATCATCTTCATAGAGCCCTTATGACCTTCACACGGCCTCCACGTGAGCCTTTTAAACCTTTATGTGACCCTTATCACCTCCATATGGAACGGTTTGACCTTCACCTGACCCTTATGACCTCATGCTTGCATCGTATGACTTTCATCGGGCCTTATTTGACCTTCACTCACCCCATATGACCTCCATATCACCCTGTTTGACCTTTATCTCTCCCTATATTACCTTCGTTTAGCCCTATACGACCTTTTTACGGTTATAAATGATACTCATCTGGCCCTTGTCACCTTCACCTGAACCGTATGACCTCACGCTTGCATTGTATGACCTTCGCCTGGCCTTATTTGACCTTCACCTATATGACCTCGTGACCCTCCGACCCTTTTTTATCTCCAAATAGAAAAAAATGGTGGCAAATATTTCTGAGATTTCCTTATTTATCAATTTCAGCTGAAATTCCTTCAACTTTTCATCGAAGATAATCAAATATCTCAATCCTCACGAGGAATATTCATATCGCTAGTTTTTTTAATTTATTATCTTCATCCGTCCGCATTTCTTCTCCTTCTTTTATTTAAAATGCAACTCTGGAATACCACTCCTCGTGGAAAAATACCAGAAATTCCGTGGAGATTGGAACGTTCGCCTGGGACAAGTAGCAAGAATGTATTCTACGAATCCAAGTCAGAGATCTGAACTTTCATCTCTTCCTCGAAAACTGTTCTTCCTGAAATTCCACCTTCTTCATGCACCTCTCCCCCCCCCCCCCCCCC